TAATATATATAGAGAATGTTGAATATGAGGCAATATATAGGGTGCAAAATGACCTGACCTGGCTCTAAGCCACAGATATCTTGAGATGTAACACGTGGCTAAACCAGCCTCGGGGCCAAAGCTATAGTCACTGTTTAGCGGCACGCTGCTAGCCAGTACCTAACATCATCAGGTATGGGTGCCTCCGTTCCTATGGAAACGTAAGCAAACTTCACAATGTTGCCAACGTCTTAAAGGGACCCTCCCACCTTCAAAAAAGTTAATGAATTGGCATGAAAGTGATGTCGCTCGGTTCAGAAAGAGCAAAAACGAATATCTACCAAATTTCATCGAAAAATATTCACCGGTTTTCAAGATATTAGACATTTACTTTTGTTTACTTTTTGGGATCTCCGCTGTTCCTAGCGACTTTATTTAAAAGTGCGGCATTTGTTGCGCGCAAAGCAGCATATACCACCGCGTGCTACAAAACGTTTTAGTCAAACATTTAAAAATCGTTAGATATCTGCGATGACGTCACACATTCAGAGGGGTATTCCTATGCATTAGCCCCTCTGAATCAAAATGATGCAATTTTGAAATTCAATATTTCCGATTTAAGGCATTTCTCGATGTTGTGAGTGCCGAAACCGGTAATTGTGAGCCAGGGACCCCATTTTGGCTATCTCAACTCAAATCTAATGTTAAGGTGGGAGGGTCCCTTTAATGAAAACCGGCTAAGTGTCGATACCTTGTAGCGGCGGGGAGGGTCGTATCGTGAAACAGGGGCCGAGGTCCACCTATAGTCTCGTTAATGGCCAGCTCGTTGGATTTGCTCCGATGTTATCTACTCCAACTGGTAGCCGGTGACCGTCTAGATCGGAACAGGGGATGAACTCTTACTATGGGCAGACGGATGAGGAAAGGTCTTCGTGTACCTACGGCCAAAAACGACGTTAAAGTTGCGAGGACGTGCTTCTTGCTCATATAACTCAAGCATAACTAGAAACATTTGGATCATTATGCATGCTCCAGCTGATTAGGGAATAAAGTATGTAACATTTCCATGTTATGGTAACATTCCAGCTGTTAGAGAGACTCCGTGATTTAATCCGTTCTTAACCTTTGTTTGTTTTTGTTTTGTTGGGTTAGACCCTTTCGGTCCATTGAGACCATTGCAGAGCCGGAAGGATTATAGGAATTGGGAGAAACATTGGTATGGACAGGCACCCTAGAGAGTCACCGGGGCTGAGCCCGTCCGAATGGACAGGCCGACCAGCCCCCCAAGCACTCTCTGCACCCGGCTACGGGTGTGCTCCCATGGGAGCAGTGGTGCGCTTCAAGGGAGCAGCCCGCATGAGATTAAGTTGCCTGTCCAGCCCGGATCAAGATTTGCTGCGTGGAGGAGAAGGATTTGAACTTGATCTGAACATCCTGAGGATGGAAACGACGGACGGGTGTTGCGTTCACACCCGTTTCCCCGTGCCTTTTAACACTGGTTGCGGCGGGCGGCCGGCTCCCCTCCTTAGTGAAGATATCCGCGCCGCTAGATGGCAGCCCGCTCCGCGGGTACACCGATAACAAAGGGAATCGGGGAGAGTTGCCGATCCGTTAGGTGATCCGTGTCTAAACGAAAGGTGATTGGCGAATTTTGAAAGACTCTGAGAAAAGGCGAGCGAATTAAACGTTCCGACATTTACATTGTGACCTGTAGGTACATTCATTATATAATTTAATTTTCAGCATATCAAAAGAACGCGACAAGAACAATGGCGTGATGAATACTGTTCTCAATTTAGGTTTTTAATGTTGAACCAAAGAATGCATTTCGAAACCTGTGCCCGATGTGTCGACTTCGAACGATTTATACCGATTGTTTTTGATACTATGTGTTTTTAATTTAATTAATCACTAGTGTCCACTGACGAAGGCACCCTGTGGCCGAAACGTCTGGTTTTAGGAATTTGACTTGTGTTGCCATCGATCGTGAATAAAACTCAATCATGTCTGATCATTTACAGACATACAAATCGCTTTCTCCAACCTCCCGCATGGTCTAGTGGCTAGGATACACGGCTCTCACCCGTGAGGCCCGGGTTCGATTCCCGGTGCGGGAACACGTTTTGACTGTTCCTGGAAAACATTGCACTTCAATTGGTGAGTAACCTCATCTGAAAGTACTACAGAAGTACAGCCCTCGGGAGAAGTGTAGAACAAAAACTTGTTTCCTGCCATGCGAAACTTATACAAACTTATCCTAGCAATTAGCAAACAAACCAAGGGCCAAGAGTTTTTAGTTTTGGGCGTCTCAAATGCCTGTTTAAGTCATTTCAGTTCACCCAAAGATAACCTAATATCTAACCAGGATGAAAATGTTTCTGGTAAGTACTACCTTCTACCTTTCTAGGGCAAGGCAAACGGTGTGGCATAAAAGCTCATACTTCACAACAAAATTTAACGTGACTGAATCTATCAAAAATCCATGAATCGTTGAGTTATGTTCTTGTCATAGGAACCACCGAAGGCTTTTGGCGCAATCGGTAGACGGAGAAATTGGGGAGAATTCCAGAAACCGGAAACTTTCCACAAAGTTTGTTCATAAACCGATTCAAGTTGTCAAACGTGCTACTGAAAGGCGGTTTAAAAGTTGTCCAACTGAAAGCGACGTCGCCACTTCAATCGCTGAAATCAGAAGAAAAAAAACACGGCACCGAACCGTCCCTCAGGCGCGTCAACATGTGTGTATCAAATCACTGTTGCCGATACGTTTAACTTACAACTCCGAAACCTGCCATCAACCCTTAGCCTCATCAGAGCGAAGTGTACAAGGCTATGCCAAAGTCCAAACAGTCATTTGCCCTTCCCTCTAGGCTTGGGGGCTTATTTAAAAAATAACAGTTCATATCTCAGAGTTCCTTATCAGAGCAATTCGCTTTGACACTTAACCTCGCTTCACTTCAACTTATCTGATATAACCCATCGCTAACTTACGTCACCTTTGCAATTGCATACCTACCTAACTTACTTCACCCCAACACAACTAAAGCCGTAATCGTCACCCTGTATGTGAAAGGCTTGTAATGTGGATGCATACATACATACATACCTACAGTCCGACATGCATACTGCATAGTGCATAGTGCATGCATACAAGTGCTTTTGAACGCAGCTCACCTAGCTTGACATCACCCAGCAAGTATGCTTCTCGCTCTTACCACGACAAAGCCCCAGACACCTCGCCACCTCCCATTACCTAACGGGTCAACAGCAGGGATCTCCCGAGCCGCTGTTTAGTGTTTACCCATACACCTGGAGTGCAGCTCTAATGGACCAGCCGGCCCGGAGGAGACATGCGATACGTCACACGTCGTGCCGCGGGCACACGGGCGACGAAAAACGCTGGAGAGGACGGACGGCAAGCGGGCGACGCGACATATCAAGGCCGCGACATACGAGTTAGGCGGGCCGGAGGATAGGAGATGAAGATTGGAGATATTGTGGATGTGCTGGACAGGGGGAGTCAGATGGGTGTGATAACTCTGTAAGGTGATATGATACAAACAAACGCATATCAAGCGTGCTATGCAATTTGTTGGTGAGAAGTCAATATACGCAATACGCATGCCAAACAAACAAACAAACAAACAAACAAACAAACAAACAAGGCGATTTTCTATTTGGATACGTCAGACTCAACTAGGTTATTTGATTTGTCTAGCAAATTATCGCAGAAGTCGTGAATTCGGCCGCAGCTATTGGAAGCAGCCAATATCACCATAGCAGCAGGATGTTGACAAATGCATAATTCCGCCACAAAATGATTTTTCATCCACATTCTAGCTGATTCGGATTCATTGCTACTTCTAATACAGCGCAAAGAGCACTTTTGATCATCTTGAAAAGCAAATACGAAATTATGCTAGCTGTAAATAATAAACTTCTTCCTTCTCTAGCCTGCTTTATTATCCTTTAGAAAAGTGCATCAATCGACCCATTGTGCAGCAACTTTAGATGCGTGACACTAGTTGAGATGAGAACTTTCCAGACCAAGAAACCATACCAGGCCAAGATATTGATGAAGCCAGATAAAGAATAATATTCATGAAGATTGAAGAGCCCTTAGTCCTCACAAAGTCACAATGTCAAAATGAGGCTTCAGTTTCTGGAAAACAATGGGATGTAGTTTTTAGCTGATAGATTATATATAATGGAGCACATCTTGAGCAATTTTGCAATTGTGAATTTTGGTCCTGGTCCCAGAGAATAAAATCTGTCTGGAGAACCGGCCAGCTGGAAAATATGCACTCAACACTCAACACTCAACAGGAAAATATGCTTGACCTACTAAATGTGACAGTTGATAGAATGTGTTCTCACTTCTCAGAATGATATAACTGCATGTTTTAGGTGCAATAATATCAGTTTTTCATCACACAGGCTGGAAATTTAAGAGATTTCAGGTGCCGGAGTATAAATTTGTAAAAGAGAACAAAATTGTTAGGACCCGACTGGGACCAGCAAATTATTGCCAACATTGATCCTGAGACAGTCATCAGAATATCATCAGGCATACTATGCTTCATTTGTTCAGCATTGACAAACTTTATCGAACTGCAGGAACTAAGTGAGCCTCCTTTGGGGACCATCGCACAACAATTGTTAGGAGCAGTGAATAAGGACTCATCAAGAATTGTCAGTATATTAGGACTCACAGCTATCAGACCAGTTTTTCCCTAAGGAAAATGGTCGAGTGTGGTTTTATCCTAAAATCTTTAGCCACCTTTCTAGGCATAAATGACATTAGGTGGTAGTTAACAATTAACATTTCGAATGCACAAATGCACAGATATCACAAAAACCAATACTACAATGCCAACAGCATACAACCTAATCTGTTTCCTCACATGCATAAAATTTATCCATATGTAGCTACCATCACAAAAGGTGATCAGTTACTATCTCAGCACCCAACTTGTGCTTTTCAATCCGACAGATATCATTTCCTGGTCCCTTTTTCTTACCAACATGTCCATCTGACTCCAGCAGAGTGGCCAGGTGTCTGCAGGTCTGAGCAGCGACCGCCCTCAGCTCGCGGGAAGTGAGCCCTTGCCGTCCTCGGACCTCCAGCAGCTCGGCGAGTGAAACGGGCAGGGCCACAAGCGCTGCCATCTGGGGAGAGGGGGAGAGAGTTAAATATTAGTGAGAGACACAGGCAGTCAACACGAGGGATGCTGTTTGCGGAGAAAAGGTCAGACACAAAGGACAGGACAAGCATAGACCCAACTGAAAAGACTTCTGTCTGTGAACTGTGAACTGTGAGTAAAAAGGCAATAGCAAGTGAAAAGGCAAAAAGAAGCTCATAAGCCACATGCTTTTGAAACACTGAAAATGCCACAGTTTCAGCTTGCCCTTCAGGGAGCTTCTCCTATCAATACAAGCCCTGTAGGTCATTGGCGGAAGCAGGTGGATCCCCACATACGAGCGCTGGACCAAGTGACATTTACACAGCCCTCACCACTGCAGTCTGCAAACGATATAAACAGCAAATGAAACTCATTTTCTTACTCGTGACATTGTTTGTGAAGAATCTTGGGCTAAATTTCCTCGGAGATCAGCAAGGCCCACCGAATCTGAACTACAAACGCAGCAGCTCCTAACATTGAAAATGTGAGCATGTTCCAATCTGCCAGCCTCACTGCAAGACACATCAGTCTCTAGAAAACTTCAATAGCTATAAAATAGTCCCATAAACTACACTAATAGCTATTATTTTAGGAAAATGACATTTTATCACCGCACAGCACAGCACACATGACATGACATGACGTTTATTTGGGTAATGCCTTTGCAACGGCCCCCACAAAGAACACAACAGTTTCACATGACACGACCAACACGAACACGAACACATACCACAAAGACAAAACAAAACAAAGCTCGCACGCGCCACATTCGTCTCCCTTTGCGGGCCGGCGTTCAAAAGTCAGCTGTTTCCGTGGGGCTCGGGCGCGGCTGGCAGCGGACGGACGACAGCGGGCTGACTGGGACCCTGGGGCGGGGGGCGGGGACTGCTAGCCTCGGGCGGTAGAGGAGCAGCTGGTCGACGAGCCAACTTCTGGGGATAGAAACTGGGAGAGGATCATGCACAAGGACAAAGTAAAAAGTTAGGGGACATGTAGTGGTGTCTGTGGTGACATTGAAGTCGGGGCTCGAGAGTTATTAACCGCTTTGCCTTCGAACCCGAAAAGCAGATCGGTGGAGACGGGTCCGCGGGGTCACGCCTCGGGCCCTCGCGGGATGCTTCAAGCAGCAGGGAAGAGCTGATTTTAATTGATTTTAACACGGAACACTGAATGTCCTTAATAACGGGTCACGGGGACAGGCTTTGCTGTCCCCGCATCGAGGTATCTCGAGGACGTCACAACTCGCATGTCACTGGTCAGTGGTCAGTGCAGTGGTCAAATCGATGAAAAAAAATATCCACGTAGCCCGTAGGTAACATGTTCACACAGCACACTGCGGGCTCCGACGGCCAAACCAGTCATATTTAACTCCATTTTTGTAAAACAACTCGTAAATGTACGATGTCGGTACCCTGCGGGTACCGAGCCTGTGCCTCGTGCCAAACTTGTACCTAAGTTCATCGAGTTTCAAGGAAGAATAAGGTCAGCCTAGGTCACAAAAAGTCAAATACCAACCTTAATTAATATCGAGACATATAATTACTAAATATGTAAGCCCAAAAGCCTTATGACAAACATGGTAATTTGGTAGGTATGGCGTTTCTGTGGCGCAGTTCTGACCGGAGACTAAATTATCAATAATTACGAGATTTTCCTTTGGATAAAAGTGTCAAGTCGATTTAGCAGTAGGTAGTGGTTTGGCACTTGGCAGAAGATAAGAAGTAGGACTAGGTATTGCATAAAATGAAATGAGAGAACCTCTGTAAGTCTGTAGAGCCTCCAAAGTGATGCAACTTTAGCACTCGAATCTAAAATTCGCGCAAAGAACCTTTAATTAAAGGGACTATCCCACCTTCTAAAATGTTGTTAAAACCAGTTAAATTGTGCCCGACTTAATAGATTGGATGACCAGGAACACGGTTCTGGCATTTATTTTTCATTAAACATCTTAGGCTTCCCATATTCCACACACAAACTTTCAAATATGTGACGTCACAGCCCAAAATTACCTCCTTCCCCAGGCCACATTACTGTCATAAAGCTGATTCTTTTTACTCTGTAGGCACCACAACAAAGTTCAGACCAAGTTTTAAGCGATTTTTCAACGAACAAACCCATTTAAATCAGAATGACTAAGCGAGGTGACGTCACACTAACGGTCGCTCCATGTTGAAGATAGGGCCTTGTACAAGGCCCATTTTCAAATAAAGGGAACGAATTTCTTCAACACCAAGAGGCCGCGGGGGTTGCAACCTAGATAGATAGTGGTTTCTGAACCTCGCCGCAAACTTGGCTATCTCAACTCAAACCCCATGTTAAAGGTGGGATAGTCCCTTTAAATAGAACAAAAACAGTCCACATATTAAATAGGTATGAATGTGTTATCCCAATTCCCAGCTAAGCAATGATTATGACGCTCACACGCTAGTGAGCATGCATTGCAGTGCAGATGTGGCAAGTTCATTAAGCTATACCCCCTGATACCATATTATAATTACTACAGCCCGACACACACACACCAATTACTGAAAGGGCAATGACGCAAATATGGCCGAGAAATTACGTTAACGACATTAATAAATGCACCAGTGTTGAGCTACGATCTCGGGCGTTATGCCTTGTGAACAAACAGTTAGCATGGGCACACGTCCTATCGGGCTTTTGCCAGCCCCACCTCCCACCCCACTCCCTCTTCGTCCCCAATGCGCCCCTGGTTACCCTTGCACATCTGTTGGGGTGATGCTGAGTAGTTTACGACCGTTATGTTATTAGGTTGCAGATTTTTTTATTAGATTCATTGCAAGCGAAAATAGCCATCACAGCTTTTTGTTGCATGCTGTGCAGTGTGCAATACATTGTGAGTCTGTTCAATGTGTTTCACAAATGAATTTCAGGGAGGAAATGGCTTCTTTCTTTACTGTATTCTGTCAAATGATGAATGGTGACGGTCAGGTCCGAAAACTTTTTACCAGAGAAAACAACGAAAAAAAACTAATTACACAGTAAACGTTCAGAATACCTAACTAAAGAGCATGTTGAGTATCGGGTATGGGAACGCGAGGAAAAAACAATTCAACGGATACCGCAATACATAATGCGAATATAACGCAAAAATAAATCAAGCGGGCACATAATGTCCCATTAGTCCAGCTCGCATTGTCTCTCGCTAATGTTCTGTCCCTATAGCTCTCCCTGCCCCTGCTCCCCCCTGCCACCTGTCCATTCCCACCACTGACATCATTCCACATATTACCTGTCACAGTCCTCTGATGAACGAGACCAAAAACTACGGTTTCATTAACGGCTCCGGTGTCCATTCACCTGGCTGTCGTATATCTGGCGTCCGGTCCGTGAAGGTTTGGTATTTTTAGGTTATGAGGTGGTCCCATTCGACCGGTGTTAGCTGAACCTCGCTTAGTTACAGTTCCTAAAAGGACGTCGAACAACCAATGAATTTTTCTTTCAATAAATCCTCCCTCCCTTGTAGTTAGGTGCTTTTTTTTCTTTTCGAAAAAAGGTGCATCCTCTCAATCATTTCAGAATGTCTACGAGCATTATCAGCAGCAAAGATAAACCATGGATGACCAACCATTTAAAAAATAGCATGAGGAAAAGGGACAGACTTTTTAGACTTGCACAAAAACGACAGACAACCTTGGACTGGGACCTATGGAGACAGCAGAGGAATTATGTAACCTTTATAAACAAACAACAACGGAAACTTTACATCCAAACAACAGCCGACAAACTATTGAACCTGAAGCACAATCCATTTAAGTACCACAAGACATTGAAGACTCTGACAGGAAACAGACACAGAGCAAGGATTCCACCTCTGGACAATACTGACGGAAACACAGTAACTGACGAGCAACAAAAAGCTGACCTTTTGAATAACTTCTTTGCCTCTCAAACACAACTTGACAACACCCCAATGTTACCAGGCCCAGAACCGAACACAAATCCAACATTGGTACCAACGTTAAGTAATATTATTGTGGAAAAAGAAGAAGTCCTTAAACTCCTCAATACATTAGATATGCATAAATCCACTGGTCCTGACAAACTGCCTGCCAGAATACTAAAGCTGTCTGCTATCTTAATATACGAACCTCTCACAAAGTTGCTAAACAAATCTCTAGAAACTGCAACATTTCCCCGCTCATGGAAAATTGCAAATATCACTCCCATCTTCAAAAACAAAGGTTCTGCATCAAATCCGATCAACTATCGCCCCATCAGCCTCCTTTCATCCCTATCAAAAATAATGGAACGAATCATTTTCAACAGGATATATGAACATATTACGACCAATCGACTTCTCTCTGACAAGCAGAGTGGATACCGACCTCACCACAGCACTCAACTCCAACTAGCCCACATTACACACAACATGTACAAATCACTTGACCAGGGACAACACTTAATGACAGTATACCTTGACATCAGTAAATATTTTGACAAAATATGGCACGCTGGACTTCTTTATAAATGCAAAACGGACTTCCACATTACTGACAAAGTGCACGCCTGGCTCAAATCATATCTTACTGACAGACAACATATGGTAAAAATAGAAAATTCAGCATCGACCCTACAGACAATAAATACCGGATGTCCACAAGGCTCAATTCTTGGACCTTTACTAGCAATCCTATACCTTAACGGACTAGCCGACAAAACAGAAAATACCGCTTTGCTTTACGCTGACGATATTTCACTTTTTTCACCATATACCTCACACAACAAACTCAATGTGCAAAATTCCATGCAACGCGACCTCAACCTTATTGAAGAGTATGGAAGACAGTGGGCCATCACATTCAGCCCTGCAAAAACTGTCTGTCAAACCTTCAGCAACAACCCTTCCCGTCCCTTGTCAACCCTGACTTTTGCTGGACAGACAATACCAATGACTGACTCACACAAACATTTGGGACTGACTTTTTCAAGTGACCTTAGATTCCACAAACACGTTAATGAAAT